AATCGAATCAATTGAGAGCACCGATAAACCCTCTCTCTCTTTAATCAAATATCATTTGAATAGGTACCATATATATAAGTGTGCGTCTGTGTTTATGCGTTTGTGTGTGTTTGTATTCATTGATTCTTGATTTCTTTGAAGCTACAGTTGCTTTACTGTTTGCATTGTTTTGAGTATATGTGTAATTTTTTTAATTAATTTGTGCAGGTAAAGAATCAACTATCTTAGTTCTTGAGTTTTCGTAGAACTACTGTTTGCTTTCGATTCTGCATTTCAGGTTCCTTTAAAGTCTTGGCCAAGTAAAGAATCTCTCTCTGATTTGTCGGAACTAAGGAAAATTATGGAGTTTCTTGGCAAATTATCGAATCTTTCTATGAATTTCATGGGCAGATTGGCAGTGGGGTTGGAAAACATGGCCAAGTTCCAGGCCAAGGATCTAAAGCTTTCCTTTCGAATTTTTTCACGAGAAGGTGGGAATCTGAAAAACTTTTTTATTAATAAATTCTTGATCACATTGGTTGTACTTGCATATTTTTTTTTTGACACACATGTTTTTTTGATGAAAAATGTTAAGACGCAAGATTTCAGTGTGCTATGAAATACAAAATGCTACTTGTAGCATGCGATGGAAACAATTGGTAGTTCTGCCACTTAATTGGGTGGGATGAGTTTAGAATTCTATTATAGGTAGCGAAATTTCCGAACTTAATGGTTGTGTTTGACACAATTTTGCAGTCATGAAGTAGCAGTTTGTGATTCAGAATCTGATAACATTTTGAAGGACTACTACATTCTTGATTACATACTTCTACCAGATTAGCATCAAGACAAGAGTCCCATGTGCCCGCTTGTGCAGTGATAGTATTCATCAACTCCAGAAGTGGTGGCCAGCTGGGAGGAGAACTTCTCGTAACATATCGTTCTCTCCTTAATAAAAATCAGGTTTTACCCATACTGCACGGTCATAGCTATTTTTATTTTTTATTATTTTTTTTGATGATTTTTTGATAGTCAGTTTTAATAATGAATGCATTTGCTTCTTCATGGGCTTAATCTTTGGTTGCTTGATTCTTTCAGTATTTGATTTGGGAGAAAAAGCTCCTGACAAGGTGCTATGTCAACTTTATTATAATTTGGAAAAGCACAAGCAAACTGGGGATAGCTTGTCCTCTGAAGTTCAGAGGAGATTGAGAATGATAGTGAGTTAATTCAGTAGTTCAATTAAGTGGTAATGATGTTATCTTGTCGTTTACATCTAATCCGTATCTGGTTTGCTAGGTTGCTGGTGGAGATGGAGCATCAAGCTGGCTTCTTGGTGTAGTTTCCATCTCAGCCACCGCCAGTTGCTACAGTACCATTAGGAACTGGAAACAATCTCCCATTTTCATTTGGTTGGGTAAGGTTTTGGAAAGAATTTGTTCTTGTTCTTCTCCCTGACATCTATAGTCCAATCTCTTAATGCCTGCTTTTGGAAATCAGTCAAACTTGTGTGAATTTGCCTTCTAATCATGCTTTTTTTTTAATGTTATGTTTTTTTACGAGTATTTAGAAATGCAATTCTAATTTCTCATGTCCCCTTAATAGTTAGTTAAAAGATTTGAAATGAAATATTTATTTATTGATATATTGTAGCTTTTGTTGAATTCATATTCCACTTGTGTCAACTGAGATATAATTACAAGCTTGAGAATTCTTGTTTCCAAGGTGAATTCTAATGTAACCACACAGGTATTTCTACTAATGTATCCCTGTTATGCTATTATGTCTTCTGCAAAAAAATATGATAGCAAAGTCATGTTTTTGTCAAACCAAGTAAACTAGAGGTAGTTCCCGAGTGAAGGCCATATTCAAATATCACATACAAAGCATATTGATTGAGTTGCAAAAGAAGGTCATCCATCTTTAGACTTTAAAACCTTGCTAATATTTTGTATTGTATATCCTAAATTATCTATTCTTATTTTTTTAAGGATGTTTTTAGCAGAATGAAACATTAGCAGCAAAAAAACTTTGGTTGGCTACAAAGTTGGAATTTTCTTTTGGAAAAAGTGAAGCATTATAGTTTTATGTTGCTTTTTTTTATCTATTAGCAAAGAACCGAAAAATTACCTAAAAGGATTGCAGAATTTATACCAATATAACTCCAAAAGTTCACAAAATAAGCAGCAGCAGTAGCATAAATCTATTGATGATCTCGATTACTTTGTAAACTTTGGTGATATTTAAGTTATCATTTCCTTTAACAGACCACCTTGGCCACTACCCATTTATTCAATAATATGAAATTAAAGATTTGCCAAAATGCAAGGATAGAAAAAAACAGCAACACCATCACTGGGTCTACATATACTATCATCCTGGTGCAAGGACAACAACATTTTCTTTATCCAGTCAGTTTCATCTTTAACACAAAATTTACTAGCCTCCTATGTAACAATGTCAGGTTTTTCAATCCTCTCAACACCTTCCAAAACTTCATTACACCGTTCTTTTGTCTGGCTTCCACGAGCTCTACAATCCTCATGGATTTGTGGAACTTTAGAAGCATCATGGATACTTAAGGAACAAGCAGAATCTGCATTTGTTTCCTTTACATAATGAGCATGTTTAGCCTAATCTAACTCGCTTCTTATAACTTCTTTCGTTGCATCATATGCCATTCCAATGTTCACTTGTGAACATATTGAAGAAGATCTCAAACCATTCTTAGAATTCGCATAGTTAACTCTTGCTATCTCTTTCACTTTTTCATCTAAATTTTTGATCTGTTCCCAGTACAAATTGATGTCTCCAACAGNGGAGGACACTGCTCTCATTAAGTTAACGGTTGTTGGTTTGCCCAAGATGACATTGTACGTGTATGGACCAGTGTTTTAAAAACTACCAATCCGACGTGACAGGTTAACCCAAGAACCCAATGAACCAGACCCTAATCTAGGTTGGTTCATAAGTTAGATCGTTGGAGCATCAAACCAGCCAAATACTTGTTGAACCAAACGATTTTTGTCCAAACCGTTCAAACTAGATGGGTTTAATTAAATTAGCCAAGTCACTAAAGTCTTACAAAAAATAGAATTTTTGGGCATTTTACTTAGTCATGAATATCTATACTACTAAGTTAAAATACTTATGATCAATCAAAGTTTTTAAGATCAAGCCCTTGTTTTCCAAATTTTTAGGTTTATTAACCAGTAATTTTGTTATCAAAGAATCATAAGTTGATCTTGTGGAGTGGTAAACTTCATCTTGTGATCAACTAAACTTGTGTTGAGATGCTATGCAACAAATTGGATAACTCATTGAATACATAATGGCTTATTTGTTGTCACTTAAAAAAAGTAATTCTATTCATCTCAATATGGATCTCAAATTATATATTTTGAATGAACATATATAGTTAAATAAGGGCTCGTTTGGTAGACCTGATTAAATATTGAATTGTACTATTTTTTATTTAATCGGGTCTAATACTTAATTTGGTAAACAAATTTGATACCATTTTAATTTTAAAAATGTATATTAATCATATATTTTTTATACGATACACTTGTATTATGAAGGTCTTTTAATACCACCAAGAAAGGTGGTATTATAATCCAACTCAAACGTATTATTCTACACATTTATTGTTATAACCTTAAAGTGATAAAATCAAGTTGTCATCATGTAACAAACACTGATTTAGAATATTTTTGTTAATTCAATATTAATACGATAAAAATAATTCTCTAACCAAACAATCGATTGTATTAAATAATTACTATTCAACGCTTATCTATATAATAAAATAGTTTATAATTCAAATCTCAAAAGATAAATAAAATGATTTTTGTTATTTGAGGTTGAGATCATTTTAAATTTTGTTTTAAAGTTAATCTAACGGCTAATATTAACACCTTAAATTTAATATAAAAAATAGGCTTCTACGGGGTGTGTTTGGAGTGACTTTTTAAAAGTACTTTTAAAAATTATTTCTCATAAAATATTTTTTAATCGCTCCCACCACTACCTCTACCACCACCGTTGTCACCTCCATCACCATTACCACCACTATCACCACCACTGTCGCCACCACCACGGCCACTACAACCACCACCATTGTTGCCACCACCGCCACCATTATTGTCGCTGCCGCCGTTATAACGGTTATTATCACCCACCATAACCATCACCGTCTACTATTACTACCACCGCCGCCACAGTCATTGTCACCCATCACCATCTCCTATCACTACTATTGTCGTCCACCACCTCTCACCCCCACTACAACCAATACTTAAATTCATTTATCTTTCCTTTAGTTATTGGATTAAATAACCGATTGGATTAAATAACTACTATTCAACGCTTATATTGTATATTACCAAACACTAGATAAAATTACATATCATTCTAATACCATATTTAATTTTATATTTTATCCATTTATATTGTATCAAACTGTATTACTTTATCTAATCCATCTATTTTTAATACGACAACCAAACGATCCATAAGTGGACCTTATTAAATAAAATTGTGTGACTCACTGATTCAATTCTTTTTTTCTTTTTTAGTTTTAAATGGTCACACGTATAATCATTCACATTGTTTTATGATATAAAATTTTAAAAACATTTTAAAATGTGTTAAAAAAAAGTTGTGGGTAAACTCAAAGGGGTAATCTAGTGAAAACAAGAATAAGCAATAAATCTAGATATTTTGAATTCGATCATGAGTGGCAAATCGTGAAAAAAAAATTTTGCATAAATTTCTTAATTCCATCATAGATAACTTATTTTTAACCGAATTAAGAAAAAAATTAATCAAAATGCACATAAATTAACTCAGACATTTTTTTGACCGTAATATATATGTAAAAGTTGTAGGTAAAATTGCTTATAATAAACCGGCAATAATAATATTAGGGAAAACACAGGGCTATTTGCGTAAATATATGCATGGTACACGACAACAATCTCTGGACCGACCCACCCACATTGGTTCAAGAAACTTCCATTGCAAAAAACAAACCCTAATCCTCAAATCCCCATTCCCTGACATCCATTTTCCATTCGCAGAGAAGGGAAGAGAAGAGAGAGACAGAGATGTCGCACTTCGGGAGAACCGGTCCACCGGACATCACCGACACCTACTCTCTCCTTGTCCTCAACGTCACTTTCCGTAAGCATCTCATTTATCATCCGTTTCGATTTCTATTTCTCTTTCCTCTGTCTGAATATTTCTTTTGTCCTTTTGTTGAAATAGGGACGACCGCCGATGATCTCTTCCCGCTCTTTGACAAGTACGGCAAGGTCGTGGACATCTTCATTCCTAGAGATCGAAGGTTTTTTTTTCCCAAAAAATCTCCGTAGATGTTTTTGGTTTCTTTCTTGGTGATCTCGTTTGATTGCTCTTGGGGAATTAAAGGCGCTTTACTATAATCGCACCTCACATATATCCTTTCCCACCTCATTAAACTCTCAATTATAAAATTATTAAGCACACCCATGTTATATTTACCCCATTCTACTAAATTGTTTAACTACAATACAAAAGTTGTGCAATAGTTCTTCTTAGTTGCGTCTTGATATGCCAACATACCAATAACTAAATTCCGAATAAAATATACAATAAAATCTGTTAACCGAAAAAAAAAAAAAAAGCGTGCGGATTTCTCCTAATAAAAAGTAAGTTAAGTTTATATATATATAGAACTAATATAAAATATATTAATGAAAGTCTACAACAAAATAAAATATATTTAGAACTAATACAATTATACAATTTATACTAGATAATCGAGTTGGGTATATATATATATATAGGATGTGTGAGAAAGAGTATTGGAAAAAAGCCTAAAGGTTAAAATTTAGATGAGATTAGTCATTGTGGATTTCTTTCTTTATCAGTTTATATTTTTCTCTCTTTGCTGGTATTTCTATTTTTCTAGCTTCTTTCGATTCTGTTGTTTGCGTTTAGGACTGGTGACTCACGAGGGTTTGCATTTGTTCGGTACAAGTATGCAGATGAAGCACAGATGGCAGTGGATAGGCTAGACGGTATGTGTCTCTGTTGTTTTGTATACCTATATACCATATTTTTGTGCATTCTTTCATAAATCAGAAGTATTGTTCAACTTGTCATTATGTAAGGTTTGTAGAAATATATTGCTGTAATTGTAAATAAAGGTCCATGAAAATGGTTCAGCTTGGACTTCCTATAAATTACTGGAGGGGTAATTAGAGTTTCTATTCAGATAAGATTTGCATTATGAATGTGTATGTACCTACTAAGGTAGAATCAGTATGGATCCTTGTGTTTTCATGTAGACCATTTCCAAGAACCTTTTGAATGTGATTGAGTTTCTTCGTGAAGGTTAAGAACATTATGTTTGCAAATTTTTACTTGGAATAATTGATTTGATTTTGATTGCTTTCACAATAATGTTTCAGGGACACTTGTTGATGGTAGAGAGATTGCTGTTCAGTTTGCAAAGTATGGGCCGAATGCTGAACGGATGTAAGTTCTTCTTGCGTATGGCTTATTTTTGTTGATCTTTAGTTCAAGTTGCCATCCTTTTCATTTCGTTATGAAATTATTTCTAGAGGCATTACTAAAACGTGTGATTTTCATTAGTTTGGTCAATATTGCTGCTATAATTGCATTTTTGCACTGAGTGCTGATTTTTGCAATAATTGTTTTTGAGGTTTCCATTGACTAAAAATTATCGTAGTTTCGTGAAGTTTTCATATTGCTGGTCGAATTCTTTATGCTTACTCCTTCCTAACATAATCTTTAATGGTGTATTGTTGCGTTCTCTTGCAGCTTTACTATCATTTTTTCTTTTTCTTTTTTTTTTCCTTTCTCAGTCACAAAGGAAGGATAATTGAAAAGGTTCCGAGGAGCAGAGGCAGGTCAAGAAGCCGTAGCCCCCGCCCAAGGTAAACCCTTTTATTGTCCACTTTCATTCCTGCGTTCGACATTTTAAGCATTATACGGTAAGATTCTTGTTAAAATATCTGAAAAATAAATTAGCTGTGAATCAACTATGCGGCTGGATTTTCATGACCTATACCTGCCTTAGTGTAGATCAGAGAAGATATGATGTGCTGTTTTAACCGTTTAACTTTCATTTTCGCAGAGTGAATTATCAAATCATAAAAGGAAATGAAAATGTTGGGCATCTCTTTTTCTATTTTTTTCTTTAAAAGTTGTGATTAGGCTCATTAATGAGTATATTGTCTTTTTCACCCTGAATTGTATATCTTGTATTTGGATGCTATGGATTTGCTTAGACTGTGGTTCTATCTTTGTGGCAAAGTGCCACATTTGATAGCCTGAACAACTGATATTTGAAGCTTCTCCAATCACCATACATTTAAAATAAATATCTCAAGGATCAAGGTTTTGTTTTGTTTCCACCAAAATGACTGAAATGTTTCGATTTTTGTGTAAACTGAAACAAATTGACCGAAAGTTGAATTCTCATGGTTTGGAAAATTTTGGGATGATTTGGCATCAAACTTCCAAAATCTTCTCTCTGCATTTTGTTTTTGAAACATTCCCGATTCCTTTTTGTCTCCAAGCTAATTAGAATTGTGCTCCGAAATAAAATTTTGATCTTTGCTTTAAATTTTACGATCTGCCTTTGGTTGATTATAACAATGGTTCAAACCATGGTTTTGCTATGGTATGACTGCCATCATGTAATATTTATGTGGTACGTGAGTACCTATTTTAAGAGAAACACGGATGCAATAACTTGATAACCATGTTTTTTGTTGTTGGTGTTATATTTTAGTTCTGTATATGGATACCAGTAGTACTAGTGGCATTTGAAAAAGCAAATCCCAAAAGACACAACACTGNATGCAATAACTTGATAACCATGTTTTTTGTTGTTGGTGTTATATTTTAGTTCTGTATGTGGATACCAGTAGTACTGGTGGCATTTGAAAAAGCAAATCCCAAAAGACACAACACTGCTCGCATCCTGGCTGCAGTGGTAAGTGGTCATATTTAAGGAAAAGGACTGGTTTTTTTTTTTTGCAAATCAGCTCTTTTGGAAGACCCGAGGGACAGTGCTTTCATTGGGCTCAAATGATCTGCTGGGTGCATCGGAGTGCTTACCAAAATAGCACATTCACCACTTATTTGGTTTCAGGAATCTCTATTTGTTAGCTCTGAGGAAATAAATTGATGCAAATTATGATGCACCCTGTATGTATTTTACTGCTGCTTTGTTGAGTAATGAACACTCTTGGAAAATACACCACCCTCTTCTTTGAGACTGTATTGTGGTACGGTTGGTGGTTCTAGGATTTTTGTTGCTTTTTCAACAGGTTTTATGTCCCATTTTGTCTAAAGATGTTCAAGTAAGTGAAATGCTAAATTTTTATGGACACATTCTTTTGTGTTTTTGTGAATTGGCCTGTCATTTCTGACGCATGCAGGAATTTTCTTTGTGCTTCTTGTTTACTAGTTTTAGGAGTTTTTCAACTTTTGTATTGCTTAGATTTCACTTTATCAAAATATATATTCTGCTTTTCCCTAGCATGCAGTTTTTACGATTTGTGTTCTGTGTGACCCTTATTTTTTGTTGTATGCAAGTATGCTTAACAGTTAAATTTTCAACATTTTTCAGGTACCGTGATGATTATTATGGAGGCAGGGATTACCGAAGGAGAAGCCGTAGTAGAAGTGGGGATAGGTATGATCGTGACAGGTACCATGGGAGGGAACGTGGTTATCGGTATCGCAGCAGGAGCCGTAGCATAAGTCCAGACTATGATAGAGGCCATCGTGGTCGGGGACGCTATGAGGATGAGCGGCAGAGGTGTAGGAGCCGATCAGTTGAAAGGTTTTCACTATGCTAATTTTATGTTTTACAATCATCAGCTTCTTTTACTTTGCACTTGGCTTCATGTAATGTTATATGTGAATATCACAGTACCTCTCCGCCTCGGCGTAGTCCCAGCCCGCGACGAAGTGTGTCCATGCGAAGGACACCATCTTCTGGGGGTGAAAGTCCTGATAGACGAAGCCACCATGATCGGTCTCCAACACCTCGGAGCCTATCAACACGGGATCAACTTGTTGATTCTCGTAGTGCTTCTCCTAGGAATTCAATTGATGTGAGTTCCTGTTCTAGATATCTTGATTTTGATATTCCTTGGAAATATCTACATTTTAATATTACTTTGAAATTGTTTTCTAACCTGTTTCCTCGATTTGGGTTTTGCAGGAGTGATTGTTGCAACATGTTTAAGTTGCGGAGGGGACAAGAAGGAAGTGCATCCCTTGTGACCATCTTGTTGATTTTGTCGGAGCCTCGATTGTCATGCATGTTCTAGACAGTCTTTAGTGCTAGTTTGGTAGGATTGGACTTCCTAATTTTCTGTTGTTTCAATATGGAACTTACTGCACACTTCAATAGTCGGTCCAGTTGGATGTTTTGTTGTGGACTACATTCTCTCAAAACTAGTTTTTTTTTCTGGGAATCCGGGATAGTAGTTTTCAAGTTGCTGTAGAAAAATGTTCTGTAGGTTTCATTTTTGGGGTAGGCTTTGCTCTTTTGTGCTCTTGATCCATTTCTTTTCCTCCCAATTTCTGCTCATATTCACATTCTATAAGCATGCATCCCCCCCCCCCCCCCCCC